CCCAACAGCAACAGTGTAGGGATGAGCACGACAGTGCAGGTGAGCATAAAGGATGGACAAGCTTCGGGGATTTTGGACTGGGAACACAACAAAACACTAACACTCAGGGATTTGAGAATAGTCAGACGCCCGTTAATATCGATGATTCGTTTTAGATCGAATCAATGAATTGTCAAACGAATTCAATCAATGGCACCAGCGTGACCAAGAAGAACAACAACGTCGTCTATCATTTTATATTTAGATCGTATGTTATTAATTTTATGCTTTATTGTAGTCCATGTATGTTGATATACTTATTCCATGATAATTCTATGTTTATCCTTTTGTGTGATGTAAATTAAATGTTGAATGGCGGTTCATGCAGGGAAAGAACATATCAATATTCGTATATTCATCCAAAATCATTAAAATTCTTAATGGAGTACCCTCATTTTTTATTGAATTCCTAAAAAATAATATTTATAATGAATTTTAATAATTTTTTCGGATTTTTTTGAAGCTTTATTCTGATCGATTCACCCGATTCCGATCCTGACCGCCGATTCGCAGATCCGGATCCCCCATTCGCCAATCCGGATCGATTTTTGAAAAGCCCGATCCAGGTCACCGATCCGATTTTTAAACCATTGGTTAAAACTATTATTTCGTCAACCGTTCAATGTCTCTGTTCGAAAACGCTGGGGCTCCCTTTTCCCGAAACTTTTCATTTCAAATTCCTCTCTCTCCAAAACCAAAACGAGGCACCCCTCTCTCTCTCTCTCTGGAACTCCGAGAAAAACGCAGGCCCTCACTCTCGCTATCTGGAACTCGTGCTCTGCTCCTCACTCTCCAAGCTATTCAAGCGAGAACCTGTTTTCTCTCTCTAGGAAGAACTGTAAACCAGGCAGCTCCTCTAAACCAGGTATTCTCTCTCTTTCTATGTCGATTTCTTTTTTAGGTTTTTTCTCGGTTTTACCGCTCTCTCTATCTCTATTTTTTTCATGGCCATTTTTTCACTGTTTCTTCCTCTCTCTCTCTCTATCTTAGGTTTTTAGGGCTTTTTATCAGCTTCTCTCTGTGTGTCTATCTCGTTTTTTTTTTGGATCTTTCTCAGTTTCTCTCTGTCTCTTCCTATCTCAATTTTTTTTGGGGCATTTTCTCAGTTTCCCCCTCTATCTATTTTGAGATTTTTTTTATAGAGGCATCTTCTTCCAGCTTATCTATCTCTCTGTGGGTGGGTTTTTTTTTTTGAAGGGTTTTTAATGATCTCTCTTTCTCTCTCTATCTCTCTCTATCTCTATTTTCCTTTTGGGGGTTATCCAGCAAACAAGTATCTCCCTCTCCCTGAAACACGATTTTGGTAGCTTTCTATTGTTAAAACAGTAGATGATTGTAGAGTTCCGATTCTCTGTGCTTATCTTTGTGAGTTCTTGTAGAGTGTTGGGTTGTTGTTCTATGCTCTTTCTTTGTGAGTTCTTTGCTTATTGATCTTGGTATGTATTGCTTAGTTTGTTTTCTATTCTTCAAGTATTTAATGGGCAAAAATTTTATACTTAGTTGGAGTTTGCCACCCCCTCTCTCTCTCTTGCCTCCACCTATTATTGTGCATATTGTTTTACAACTTGTTAGAAAAATATTAGTTAATTGAATCCAATAAAATGTTTTTAATTGTGGGGTTTTTCTCATTTTTCATGGGAGTGAGGGTATGGGTCATTGTGCCCTTCTACACTAGCTTTGTTGTGCTAATAAGCAGTGCTTTCAACTTGGCTAATGAGCACTGCTCTCCAAGTTTCATTGGATTCAATGGTCATGTTGTCTTTTATTCTCATGTGTAGATCAACTCGTTTGATATGTAGGAAGCTTGTGTCTTCTTACGTCGTCTGTTCTTATGCTTAATGTTTCTGTCTTCTTTCTTTCCTTATGCTTCGGCCATATCTTCTATTCTTAATGGACAACTTATATGGTTTGATATGATCCATGAAATTTTTTAGGAGAAAATATGACTCTATTTAGGTGTTAGCATATAGCAGCCACATATTGTACATGTACTAGATTTTTGTGAGGGAGACATGAGTAAATTTGTATTGCTTATTTACTTTAGTTGTCTTCCATTGTGTCTTAAAAGTGGAAAAAGGCTGTAATTGAGATGAGCTGCATCATAAGACCATTTACCTCTGCTGATGGTGCTTGCATAAGATCATTACCTCTGCTGATGGTGCTTGCATAAGACCATTACCTCTGCTGATGGTGATTGCTTCCTTTCATGGTTTTTGATAGTTCACTTTTATTTTACATGATAGAATTCCAAGCCACTAAACTGAGTTACCAAGATACTACCCTATTGTAAAACTTGTTTCTTTACACTATTTAAAAGTAGTTGAAAGTTCAGGTTTTATTTACTTATACAGTCCATGTTCACTATGTATTTTGGTATATATGTTTCTCCATCTCTCTCTAGCATAGACTACAGTTCATGTTCAACATGTTGGAATCTATTGAAAAGACTTAGTTGAAAAGATATATATGAGATAATTTTCGATTTATATTGATGGGATTCATTTTCTGGGACAAATAAATGGATGACTCTTACACAAGTCAGTCATTTTCCCTGAATATCGATGATGGTGGCCCCACCACTTTTTTTGGAAGAATGTGGTGCCAATTCTTTGGTGCATGACACTACTAACTTGGATGGGGGACAAGATTTATTGTTTGTAGATGAAGGGGCAGCACTCGCAAGAGGAGTGCATATTGAGCCTATATGTGGCATGTCATTCGATAATGAGAATGAGACCTATGACTATTAGTTAAAATATACCAAGCTTGTGGGGTTTGGCATAAAAATGGGAGGTACACTTCAAAAAGATGGTCAAAGGTTTGGGCGAGTTATTGAGTGTTCAACTCAAGGATACCGTCATCATACATATCAGGGCAGTCAGAACCCTCATCCCCAAATGAGGTGTGGTTGTTATGCATTTCGTAGGGTGACAAACAAAGATGGGTAGTTATTAAATTTGTGAAAGAGCATAACCAAGCTCTCACATCCCTATCGAAAACTAGGTCCATGTGATCCCATCGGAAGATTCCCTACTCCACGAAAAAAGTTGTTAAGACCATGGGGTCTTCTGTGGTTAAATCAAATTTTATGATGGATTACCTTTACGAGGAGGCTGGAGGAGCAGAAAATGTGTCCTTCATTGCCAAAGACCTTGAAAACCACCTACATTGGCAGGAAATTGAAAGGAAGTGATGCACATATGGTTATAAAATGGTTGCATTCAAAGCAACATTTGAATCCTACCTTATTTTTTAGACAGTGGCTTGATGAATTAGGAAGACTTATTGGTGTTGTTTCGATAGAATCTAATTCGATAATGTCATTTCAATTATTCCATGATGTGATAACATTTGATTCTACATACCAAATAAACTCATTCAGCATGTCTTTTGGGCCGATCCTTGGAGTCAATCATCACAGTAATACTATTTTCCTTCGATGAGCCCTTATTTTTGATGAGATAACTGAATCATTTACTTGGTTATTTGAAAATTGGTTGAAGGCAATGGAAGGAAAGTAACCATGTACAATTATAATTGATCAAGATTTGGCCATAACTGCAGCAATTAAGAAGGTCTTCCTTGAGAGTAATCATCATTTATGTAAGTGGCACATAATGGGAAAGTTTAAAACAAAGTTAGGTCATATTATGTGTGTGCATACATTCTTTATAGATGTATTGAGGAAGTGTTTTATTGCATCTACAATTGAGATGTTTGAATCAAAATAGAAAGAAATTATTGAGAGATTTGCTCTTGAAGAAGATACGTGGCTACAATGGTTATATGGTTGTCGCAAACAATGGGTAGATGGGTATATTGGTAATAGGTTCACTGCAGGGATGACGGCTACACTGCACAGTGAGAAGTTCAATTGCAAGCTCAAAGCTTATGTGTCTTCAGGAACCAGCCTTCATACAATTTTTAATGCCGTTTAGAAATTGCAAGACAAAAAGTTTTTCAAAGAAAAAGAGAGAGACTATAAAAGTCTAACGTCCACTCCTGCTTTGAAGACGCCTTTTAAAATAGAGTGCCATGCATCAAATATCTACACTTAAAAGGTTTATGGAAAATTTCAAAATGAACTAGTTAAGTCGGCAGATTGTAGGATTGAATAAATTGAGGACGATGGAATCTCTGCCAAGTATGATTTAGAAGATTCTCAAGGGGCGTCCATCCATAACATTGTTACATTCAATGGGTCAGAGAGCAAAGCCACCTGCACATGTCACATGTATGAGCGTGTTGGCATCTATTGTTCGCATATGCTTCGGGTTTTCAGTGTAAAGAATGTGGTGGAGATCCCATCGCATTACATATTGAAGCGTTGGACAATGGATGCGAAGAAGGGTATAATGGGTGATACACATGGTGTTTGAAATTCGAGTCCTTCTACTTTTATTGATTCATTAGACGCCATGAGTTCTACGAGCTTGTACGGACGATTGAAGAGCTTGCAATAGAAAATGATTAGTTATTTGAGTAACTTAAGTCACTAGCCAATGAATTCACTGTCGCACCTGGCATAAATTAGTCAAATGATGCTCCCCCACCTGACATTACTCAATCGAATGATGCCTCCCAACCTGGAATTACTCAGTCAAACAATGCCCCTCACTTGGCACTAGTCAATCAGATGATGAGCCCCCTTTTGTGACTGTACAGAATGTTAACGTATGGATATGGATATGTATCATATTGATACATATCAATACGGATATGCATCTGTATGGATACATATCTCTTGATAAGATTAGGCGGTGTCTATCCATAACTGTTGGTATTTATCTTTAACGGTTACTTGTGGTATATTTGGTACCTATCCATAACCGTTGGTATTTAATTTTAATTGTTACTGGCTGTATATATATATAGAGTCTTGTATATTATTTATTAATCAATTTAATATATAAAAAGTTCTCTACAGTATTCTGAAATTCTAACATGGTTAGAGTTATAGGCTCCTCAACCTTAGATATGAGGTCCGAGCTCAGATTTGAGGTTGCCATAGCTTCTTTGCCCAACCTTGCCGTGAGGTTGCCGTAGCCTCTTTGCCTAGCCGACTCTCTGATCTGAGCACCTTTTTTTCTTTTTTTGTCTTCCGAATCCTCTGATCTGAGCCCCACTATCCGGTTGTTTCAGAACAACCAATCAACAATCCGAGTGGGTTGTAAAAAAAAAAAAAATTTGCTTTGCAAATCCCGTTCCCTTTTGCTTCACTCCTCCATACTCTTGCATGCCAACATAAAATTTTTTTATGTTTTGCAAATTTACTTCCCCCTTGTACAATTCACCAACTTTTTGCACAGTCTTTCTAGTCAACAAGTTTGCTTGCGAAGCCACGTAGTTGCTAGTGCAACTTTGTAAATTTGCTTCTTCCAGTCCAATAATTTGCTTTTCAATTTGCTTTCCATTGACGCAGAGAGAGAGAGAGAGAGAGAGAGAGAGAGAGATGCATCCGATTGCCCATTATGTTTGAGAGATGCATCCGATTGCCCATTATGTTTGTTTATTTTGGGCACATGATTCAGGGTTATGTAAGGAGAAACATCAGTAGAAGGTTTTGGGGACTAGGATGGTCACGTGGCTTTAGATTGGAAACATACCTCAAAATTCACTTCTGAAAAATGACTTATGAAAACGGTCGATCTGCTCTATCTGAAAAATTGCCCCTCTCTCTGTTTTGCATCTGGATCTTGATCTCAGGGTGATCTGTCTGAAATCTTATAAGCTCTGATCTTTTGTGACGATCGAGTTGTCCGTTACTCGATCATGTTTGATGATAGAGTTTTTGTTACTCGATCCTGTCTATTGATCGAGTTTTCGTTACTCGATCTTGTCTATTGATTGAGTTTTTCTTTATTTGATACTAGATGTTCCGAATGCCAGTTTGTCTGATCGAGGGTTTTGTTATTCGATCCCGTCTGTTCCTGAGGTCGTCTGTTCCTGATGTCTACTGCTTTCTGTGCGTGTTGTTCAAGCAATCTGAGTATGGAGACCACAACTTCTATCGGTCATACCATGCACCTGAAGTCCTGAAGATCCAACTCATTCGTTTATGCAACATATTGTTGAAAATCCAGCTGTTTTGTGTCAAAGCATCTTGAATTTGAGGGAGGGTGTTGACGTATGGATATGGTGTTGACGTTTGGATATGTATCATACTGACATGTATCAGTATGGATACATATCTCTTGATAAGATTAGGTGGTGTATATCCATAACCGTTTGTATTTATCTTTAACTGTTACTGGCAGCATATTTGGTGTCTATCCATAACCGTTGGTATTTATCTTTAACTGTTACTGGCCGTATCAATTTAATATACAGAGAGTTCTCTGCAGTATTATCAAATTCTAACATGGAATCCACCACATGTTCAAGCAAAAGACTGACCAAAAACCTAGAGGATAAAGTCAACAAGTGAGAAAATGGCGCCACTTACAAGGGAGTGTCTGGTTTGGTTTGTAGTCAGGGTGGTCATGACAAGCGTAATTGCCTAGTGATGAAACTTGGCTTGTAAGTGCACGTCTGATTACTTTATTCAATTAAAGTTTTATTGTTACTTTATGTATTTGTCTATTCATTTTAAAATATATATTTTGTAATAAACTAACAAATCATATATATATTTTATAATAAACTAACAAATGAAGTAGTTTATCCTCATTCCGAGGCATCACCCTTTTTTGTCAAATAGATGTATTTCTTGTTCATGCATCATTCTTTTTTTTTCCCTAATAAATGTAATTCTTGTTCTTTGTATTTGTTCGAAGTGTTTCGATTGTGGGTTGAAGGGCTTGTATGTAGAGAAGTTCTTTTCACTCTGCATATGTTGCATATGTTTCAATTCTCTAACTCTCTCGCTCTCACATATGTTATGTGCCATTTTGCTATGTAGCTTTTTCTGATTTCTATTTTGCTATATATTTTTTTCTGATTTCTCTTAGTCGTTGTCTTTTTTACCCAGTATATATTTCTTTTGGGCCTGAAAAATTTGGGCCTCTCCGTGTGGTTCATTTCTGTGAGAGTTTGGGTATCTTGGACCGTTGTAAACAACGAATTGGAACAACATGGGCTTCTTGAACAAACCGTTGGAAAAATATGGGAAGAAATCACGGGAACGAATTGGAACCATATGGGCTTCTTGAATAAACCATTGGAAAAATATGGGCTTCTTGAGTAAAGAAATCATGAGAACCATATGGACTTCTTGAATAAAGAAACCATTGGAACCCAAACTAAGTCTTCTTTGCAAACAAATTTGAGAGCAAAGTTTGCCAAACAAAAACTAACTGCAAAAAAGAAAACCATATCTTTCGTGGAGATCATATCATTCGGCAATAGCTGGACACTACCTGCTATATACTTTCCATAGGAAAGAAAACCCGTAAGAGCAAGGGGAAGCTAAAGGAACAAATTTGGTGTTTAAATCTCAAGTGTTATGCAGAGGATATAAGTAAGTTCTTAATCAAGCAATATCCAGATTAAGTCAAGCAAGGCGTACCACTTGCAATAATAACTGAAGCAATATGATCTAGTGAAACATCTAAACTATAAACCTGTATGTTTATGGGATGTGATAAATCCACATCCATCATCTTGACAGCTTGATGATGAGCCATGAGCTAGAGAGAGAGGCCTTGTAATAAAATCTAATAAAATTCTGCCGCGGCATATGTTGAGCGAGCCATCCCCTTCGCAGATTTAAGTTGACTGATCCTCTTCAAAAAATAATAAATCACAGTATTACTATTCAATAAACAAAAGTAAAAAATAGAAAAGATAACCTATAAATAATGTCACAAATTGCAGCAACAATATTCAATAGAGAAAGGCCTTCATCAACAACTTCGACAAAAATAGATTTGCCATAAGGCTGGCTTATTTACATTATTGGAATCTCCAAGAAAACCAACAAGACTTAAGAAGGTTAGCAAAATTTAGACTTGATGATTTTCAATAACAGGCCTCATCCCGGCTTCGCCTGATCACCTTAGAGCAGCCACCAACACTAAGGTTCATTTTGAGCATCCATCAACATTGGGGTTCATCAGCAAAGCAATTCTTCGTCTGGTAAGATTGTCATGTTCATCAACAAAGCAGCAGTTCATCTCCGCTGTCCTTTAATAGCTACTAAGAACTATATATATGACCGCAAATTGATGAACAAAAGTTTTTAACCATATTGATCAAGAAAATTTATAGATTCCCTAACATGCAATGGTCTTATAGCTATAGCCATCTAGAACTCGTGCCTATACTAAAATTATGCAAATGCAGCAAGAATTCTAATCACTTGAGCAAAATTACATCTCCCAAAGTTCGGGGAGTTCTTACTCTACATCTCCTTAGCAAAAGTAGAGAGAGAGATACAGGGGAGGAAGTTGCAGTTAGAATATTGAATATCCTAAAAACTTTTAACATAAAAACGTAAACAGAATCAGAAAAGGAAAAAGAAAACAACAGTTTCTCACATCATAGAGAAATAAGAAGAGCTAAAAGAGAACCAGAAATTTCACCTAACAAAGCAATCGAAAGAGAGATAAATGACCATGGATAGGAAAAACAAAAACAAAACAATCCAAAGAGACAAAACCACCCATTTACTCAAAAAAAAATCCAATACTCTCTAATCATATAAAAAGATGATGATCCATTAACAGATGATAAACAAATGAGTGAGAAAATGGGGTGGCCGAAACCTCTACTCTACTTATTGGGGCAGTTGATTTTGCTACAGCCATTGAAAACTAGAAGTGGTGCCCTCTTTCACGTCCTTCACACCCACAAAGACCATAGTCTTGCTCTTTTCAAACCTTCTTCTTTGCATCAGATGATGAAAACCCTACAAAAAAACCCCCTAAAATTCCCTACAAAGAGAGATTGAGAAACACTACCCCCAATAAAAACAAGATATAGAGATACAGATTTAGCGAGAGAGATTGAGACATACCATGTCGGACTTTTGATGGGTAGAGATGAAAAATACCAATCTCCCAGGATTAATGGTTAGGATTAATGGTTAGGGATCGTAGATATCAGGCTTTACCAGAACAGCTGAGAACTCGAAAGATTATTATCTGTTAGTTGTTCTCCATGGTCATGAAAAGCCTAGTTATAGAGCGATGGAAGAGTTTGTTCTTCAACGTTCGGTTTCCTCTTGGAATCTCTCTATAGTCATAAAAAACCTAGTTATAGATGGGTGGAAGAGTTCGTTCTCCAATGTTCGGCTTCCCCCTGGAATTTCTAAGAAACGTGGTACTCTAATAGTGGGAGATGAGTACTTATCATCTACTTGTTGGATAAAGTCATATTCTCTCTCTAAGAAGTTTTTTATCATCTACCCAGTAGATAAAGGCATATTCTCTCTCTAAGAAGCCTTTTAAATGATAAATATGAAAATATAAAGATAAATAATAAGAGAGAGAAATATGGGACATGTGAGGCCCTATGTCCACTCACACATAACAACAGTACTTATCATCTACCTGTTGGATAGAGGCATATTTTCTCTCTAAGAAACCTTTTAAGTATTAAATATGAAAGCATTAAGATAAATAATAAGAGACAAAAATATGGTACATGTGAGGTCCCATGGCTACTCACGTACCAACATCGAGGGCCACATACATTAAAATATCGTAAAGTTTATACCACTTAGTGGGTTTAATATTTATGAACATATCTTTGGCTTTTCACGCTAGTGCGGTTATACATCTCATAGCAAAAAATATCTAAAGTCATGTCATGGGGTTTGGATATTTTTTGTTATGAGATGTATAACAGCACTAGCGTGAAAAGCCTCATGACAAGGATATGCTCATAAATATTAAACCCTAGTGGTATTTAATGTATCGGGCCTTCATGGGCAAGTGAGAGATGTTGGTACGTGTGAGTGGCTATGGCGCCTCACATGTCTCATATTTCTCTCTCTTATTATTTATCTTAATGTTTTCATATTTATCACTTAAAATGCTTCTTAGAGAGAGAATATGCATTTGACCAATGGGTAGATGATAACTAAGGCTTCTTAGAGAGAGACTATGCATTTATCCAATAGGTAGATGATAACTATCCGTCTCTAGGACTAGAGGACCACGTTTCTCAGATATTCCAGGAGGAAGCCGAACGAATAACACTCCATCCTTCTATAACTAGGTTTTTCATTGCCATGGAGAGGCATTGACTATAACTAGGCTTTTCATGACCATGGAGAGGCACTACATAGAATAATCTTTTGAGTTCTCAGTTGTTCTAGTAAAGCTTGATTTTTGCTATCCCTAGTGTCAAGTCTCATGGCACTGCCATTAATCCTGTGAGATTGGTGTTTTTCATCCCTTCCCATCAAAGTCCAACATACCAACCCCAAAAAATGAGATAAAGAGAAAAAAATGAGATAAAGAGAGAGAGATTGAGAGATGCCTTACATAAAAAAACCCTAAATTTCCCTAAAGAGAGATTGAAAAATACAGAGAGATTGAGAAATACCTGCCCCCAATAAAAATGAGAGATAAAGATACAAATATAGAGAGATTAAGAAATGTAGAGAGAGATTGAGAAATACCTACCCCCAATAAAAGCGAGATATAGAGATACAAATAGAGAGAGATTGAAAAATACAAAGAGAGATTCAGAAATACTAACCCTAAAAACGAGATATAGAGAGAGAGAGATTGGGAGATGCCCTACAGAAAAAAGCCCTAAAATTCCATAGAGGCCCAATTTGGATGTCAAAGAAAAAAATATTCACATTGAAAAAAAATGCAATTTTTTTCCTCCTCAATTGATGAACATTATCATTTTATTTCATTATGTTGGTAGACTGTTTGGATGTCTATTAAAATATGAGAAGAAAACTTTATTTGCCAGATATGTCTCTTTGGATGTATTGCAATAAATTTTAAATTCATATATTTTTTTTATTTTTCTCATTACATAAAAAAGTTTTGACCAATGATCTCTATAGAGCAGTCGAAAATGGCAGAAAAATAACTCGAACTATGAAATTTTAAATAAATCGATAAGAAATCCCAAACCCAATTTACACAATTTCAGAATTTAATTATATTGATTCCTCTCTCTCCTCTCTCTCTGGATCTGTAGTTTATTCCTATAAATGTAGGAGACAGAGAATGAGAAGAAAGCTAAGAAGAACCCATAAAGCTGAGAACAACCCAGAAAGCAAGAACAAATTAAGAGACAGAGTAACTCGATGGACAATATTATTAAGAGAGAGAGAGTAACTTGATGGATGGCAAAAAGAGGTGAGATGTCCTAAACCTTCTTCAGCAAATGTTTTGAGGTTCTAAAACATCTCTCTCTGTATACTCAGAAAACCACTAAATTTAGATAGAGAAACTCTATTAGATAGAGAAACTCTATGTTATAGAGAAAAACTCCACTCTCTAGAGAGAGTAAAAGAAGGGAATCTAGAATACAATTGCAGTAAGAAAGGAATCTAGGAGTACAACCGTAGTAAGAGAAGGGAATCTAGGAATACAACCCCTAAGCCCTTGCTCTGTGAAATTAGGGGCACGGCTTTGTAGAGAGAGAAAGATGGAAACGTTCATTTTTTTTGAGAAAAAAAGTCGAACTAGAATTGGGAGATGGGATCTACATAGTTAAAAATGAGATAAGGAATGAGCTGTGAGACTTGCTTCAGAATGGAAGAGAGGTTTTTGTAAGTGTGACTTAGAGCGAGAAAGTTTGGTGAAAGGCACGAAGAGGGAAGTTAAAAAAATCTGCATAGTTGAAGATGAGAAAA